TGTCCCCTCCAAAAATGTCAATATCCTAAGGCCCTGTAAGTCAGAACATGACCTTATTTGGAAGTGCGGCCACTGCAGATTAGGTAAGCAAGGTCACGACTGGCGTTCTCCTGGTGACCAGCGTTCTTGAGAGGAGGAAAGTGAGGACACAGCACATGGATGTGGGGGATGTTAGGTAGAGGAAGAACCAGAGCTCAGAGTACTGCCGCTGCAGGCCGACAACAAGGATCACCGGGCACCCCCGGCATCCAGGAGGGAGGCCTGGAGCACTTGCTTTCCTCAGAGCCCTCAGCAGGGACCGTCCCTGCTGAAACCCCGATTTTGGACTGCTAGTGTCCTTCACTCTGAGATAGAATATTTCTGTTGTTTTAAACCACCCGGTTGGTTCAATTTTGTTACAGCAGCCCGATGAGACTAACACACACTGCGTCCCCACCACACTTAATGCCAGCCTTCCCTGTGCAGCTCTGCCTACACTATTGTCAGCTTAGCATATTTCTCACTCTTCCTCCAAGCCACACCTCTCCCTGAAAAATCTGAGCCTTGCTGCCAGAACTGCTTCTCGAGTGAAAAGTTTCTGCTTTATCGCTTACAGATAAAAACAAACCCCTTCTACATTGTTGGTGGGAACGTAAACTAGTGTAACCGCTATGGAGAGCAGTACGGCAATTTCTCAAAGAACTAAAACTAGAAATTCTATTTGACTCAGCTATATGTCTTCTAAGTGTCTTCACCAAAGAGTTAAAGGCATCATGTGACAGTAATGTATGCACACTCATGTTCATAGCAGTGCAATTCATAATCGCCACATCTTGGAAGCAGCCTCTATGTTCATCAATGGATGCATGGATAAAGAAAATGTGGTATTTAAATGCAGTGGAGTACTACTCTGCCATACAGAAGGATAAACTTAGTCAGATGCAGGAGAATGGATACACCTTGAGACCATAATGTTAGGGGAAATAAATCAATATCATGTGGCTTCTTTTATATGAGAAATTTGAAGTATAAATAAGAAACAAAATAAAAAGTAGGTAAGAGGAAGATAGTGAGGCCTTCATTAACATATGATCTAGAAGGTGCAAGGCACAGGCAGACCAGGTCTTGTTTAAAATTCAGACTCTACCATTTATCAGATACTGAGTAATCTTGAGTGAGCCATATAACCTTTCTGAGCCTCAATATCTTCATCTTAAACTGAAGGTGAAAGTAGAAGGTCCTTTCTAATGGGTAAGGAGAGACCGATGAGGTGTCACACACGAGGGTACAGATGGTAGACATTTAGTAAATGTACATCTTTTCTATTTTTGAATATAAAACCACTGTTTTCTGTTGGCTTTGTGATAAGAGATAAAAATTAGCATACATGTCCAGAAACAAAGGGCCAATTACATTAAAATTATATTTTAGAAGCTAAGACCTGTCATTTGCCAATTACAGAATCCTGCAGAATCCAAATTTGCACTGAAATAACACCATCATTTACACGGAATTTACATGGTCATCTGGATAGCAGAGCTCTGAGGACCTCAGTTTGGTTGTGTCCTGGGGATAATTTAACTTTTAGTAACACTGCAAAGAAAGGGGAGACAATGAAGAAAGAAATGTAAAGGAAACCCAGACACCAAGAGCAGAGGGGTAGCAGCTTCCTCGACAGGACCCTGCCAGCTTCAGTGTCCTAGTGACTTACTTTGCCTCCCAGGGAGAGAAGCTCACTCAGCCCACAAGTATTCTGTCGCTTGAATCTTTCTGAACAAAAATGAGCATCTAGGAAAGGGTCAGGGTGCAGTTAAAGCCCAGAGCCTATGACCACTGATATCGCTCCATCATCTCCATATCTAGAAATTTCCTGAAAATGCAACCTTTGTTTTCCTAAATGCAAATTTATTGATCATAAAAGATGATCCTGAGCCCAGTAAACTGAGCTCCACTAGAACGGACATGCTTGAGACCATCGCCATGTCCACACAGCACAGACGGGGTCAAGCCTGACAGCCCTTTACCTGTAAGTTCACATCTCCAAAGCTCGAGCAGATGGCTACAAACCTACCCGACTCTAGTAGTAGAGCAGAGGAGTTAAAATGACCCAGCCTAACTCCTGGCTTTGCCAGCCTCCAGTTTCTGCCTCAGTCTCCCCCTCATCACAGGAGGATAATCATAACACACCGTCCTGAAAGGTGTGCCGCAGAGACAAAGGAGACGAAGTATGTACAATGCCAGGACAGTGTTCAGCACAAAGTAAGCCCTCAATAAATATGCATTTCCAGCATCCCCACTGTTATTGTTGGCCGTGTTCGATTCCTGCAAAAAGGCATATTCCTTTCTGCAAAGACTCACTTGGGTTAAATCATCCTTTTTCCTAAAACAAACACATTTCTGGGAATAGGATTTAAGCAGTGAGTTGTCAACCAACACAAGGCAATTCAGAGGGTGAATTATTCTCGGCTTGCTTTGCCTGGAGTGGCCCTAAAATGTTCTCTGGTGCCCAAAGTTTATTGCAGATCATTTATCAGAATCTCTGCACCTGCTCCCAAGCCCAGTGCTGTCAAATCTCCAGCATACCCACTCACAACCTCCAAAGCTTCTCAGTTCCACGCTCCTGGTAGAACCCATTTGTCACCCACAGCGTAAAATCTTCCAACTTGTGAAGGGCTGCAACGCCTTTCATAACGGTGGTCCTGGGGGGAATTGGTAAACTCTGCTTTGACAGGCGAATGTCATTACACCGAAATTTTACTTCCGGCAAATCTCAGTGGGGAAGCTGTGCAGAATAAACAATTACTGCAAAGTAATATCTGAAGTTGGAGAAATTATAAAGTGGGTAAGGAAGTTCTGTGCGTTAATGCTTCCTGAATACCACCGGATGCCACTCTGTGCAGAAACACTGATTCGTTAACCAGTAGGTCAGGAGCTGGAAGAGCCAGAGGATGGGCGTGGTAGAAGTAACAACCCCTGTCACCTCTGGGGCCACTAGAGCAAGTTATTTAGGGCAGCCCCATCCCCAGCTGGGGGAAAGCTCTTCTGTGCCCAATGGCATGCTGGGCAAATATTTTCCTTTGTTTTTGTGCTATGATCTGAAAAAGTTTGAAGACTGCTGAACTTATTTTTCAAAGTCCCCTCATTGCAATACTGGTGAAGATTAACCAGTAGATGGCTTGATACAGATAGCAGTATGTTCTAGAAAAATAAGCCATACATTCTTGATGTGAGAGCTCAGCCTTATAGCCAAAGCCCTGTATGGTCAGCTTCCTCTGTAGGGAACCATGTGTACTAAGGGCAGCACAGCTGCTGAGGGCTTTCACGAGGTCACCGAAGCAGGCAGGGACCCCATAGGGACAGGGACTGGGTCTGCTCAGAGATAGGCTATGGAAGCCAGCAGCATGAGAGGCCTCAGCCACACAAGGACCCGGATCTCCAGTGTGAGCTCCACCAACAGCCCGTCTGATCCACCTGCTCTCCTCCTGCCCTCTGCGGATATTTCAGGGTCGATTTCTGCTACAGATTCCTCATATCTCTCCACACTTCCTAGTCCAGGCTCTGAAGAATAAGAATGTGGGTGGCCCTACCAGGCCCAGCCTGGGAAGAACCTTAGGCCTTTACCCAAGCCAGTCACCAAACTGCAGTCTGACTGATCTGGGGGAAGACACCAACTTCGCTGCAAGGGACGTGAGTCACAAAGTTCAAAACTTGGCTGTCAGCAGACTGTGGTGGAGAGAGCGACTTTCTTTTGATGGTCCCTAGATAGGGAAGATACACTATACATAGAACATGCCTCTTTTATATCTCCACGTATGAAAAAAGACCATTTAAATGCATCTGTTGTGTCAAAAGTGTGGCAATTCTCTTTCCTGTTTGCATTCAGTGATCCATTGATCACCCATCCATCCATCCATCCATCCAACAAGTACATATCGTTGTCCTCTGTCTCCAAAACAATGCATGAGGTTTCCAAAGACCACAGTAGTTCTTAAAGACCATGAGCCTAATAAGGGGCCATAAAGTTGTGAGTGCGGATAATGCTAGGTGCCATAAGAATGACATCAACCAAACGTGTTGGGAATTCCGCGGAGGAAGATACTTCAGCCCACTGGAACCCATGACACTTCCACTGGGCCTGGAAGATGGGGAAGGTGCTAATGTTCACTCGACACAAGCAGCAAGGTTGGCCTGAGCCTACAGTTAGTAGGATTTTGTCACACTGACTTTTAGATTTTGGCATTCTAAATTGTGGGATAAATGCATAATTATTTTTAAAAATTCACACTGAAGTGAAAAAATATAGCATAAAAATTTATCTTTCATCAGCCATCACTTACTCCTCTGCAAGAATAACTGCCATTGCCTTTTTGCTATGTCCATTTCCCTACTGTTAAATAAAAGCTGTATGATTACATGACTGGACAGGTAGCACCCGTCCCATTTAACTAAGAAATGAGTCAAATTACTTGCCCCACATTACGCAGTCTTGGAAATGAAGGGTTGAGATTTCAACCAAGCCCCAATGTGGCCCAAGATCTGAGTATTTCTATGACATCTGGTGAAATGGGGCCAGCGGCTTCAATTGCCGCCAGAGACTTGGTTCAGTCCTAGGAGTTGCTTTCCTTTACAGGAGTCATTTTGTCTCAGTCTGAAGGAAGCCGGGTTGGACACTCACGCCTGAGCGCCTTCCAGCAGACTGTTCTACAAATACGGTGGGCGTAGCCTCTCCCAGACTGTTCAGTGTCCCATAAGCTCTCTGTGCTTTGCCTCCAACAGATGAATTTTACTTTAGTAACAGAGACTGATTAGGTTGCTGAAGATTTAAGAGAAGAAAATTGGACATGTTTCTCCTTTACAATATAATTCATGGATAGAACAAATGAATTATTGACCAGCTTGTCAGGACTGGAAAAGCCAAGAGAGTTTACCTAAGTGCCTTGCTCTTGCATCCAGAGACTCCAAAGGAACAGATCGCGGTGCATAGGAAGGGACCCCGTGTTTTACAGCTGCAGAACACTTACCCCAGACAGCCATGAAGACAGCAAAGAAGACCGTGGCTCCATTGTCAAAAAGGTGGGTCACCTGGGAATAAGAGAGTGAGAGTCAGGCTAATTTACGTGGGACAACTGTAACATTTTTTCAAGTTCTGTAAAAGCAATCATGGTGACATAGTCGGTTTTGCAGGGTGGGTCCTTTGGTGCGTATTTTCCTTTGACTCCAGTAAGAAGGGGGTTCCTTCAGCTGTGAAGTGGTTCGGATTATGTGGGAGAGAGAATTTGTCTTCTTAGGATGGTTTCGCATTGTTGAACTTCATCAGCTGCCCCGACAGTGTCACTAACAATCCCTTTGTGGGCTACAAACTCACACATGTAACTGAACATGAATATAGCTGTGTTTAAGACCAGGAAGACATTACTGTGCCTACTTTAAAGGTTTTCAATATCTCATTTATCTGCTTTGGAAACATGGCTATTTTGTTTGCGATTTTGAGCAAACAGTTTCTGTGCCACTCTGGATTTCAGCATTATATAGTCAAGAGATCAGAATCAGTAACAAATCCACTTTCCCCTTTATTAAAGCCCCAAGTAATCACTGTATTTACCTACTGCACATAACCCAGGTGGTGAGCAACACTTTCCTTCCAGAATAAAGCATTCTGTTGCAAACACCTCAGCGGAAAGCGAAAATGTCTATTCTTACTGCAAAACAGATAAGTTTATTTCTGCCTCTAGTATATAAATCACTCCAATGCCCATGCCAAATTGAAACGATAACCGATAGGTTCATCAAGCATTATCCTTCTGTTGGGCACTTGACAGTGCCCTATAAAATATATTTTATTGTCCTTCAGAGAAAGTACTGAGTACAAACTGGTCTTTCTGCGTTATATCAGAGTGTGAAACAGTTCTGATTATCTCAAAAGTTTCCATCTTTTCCTTTGAACATAGAGATGAGTAGCATTCAAGGGCACAACAGGAGGGAAATCTCTGAAGCCCGTTTATGCCACAGCAGAGGCAGCTGCGTCTTACGGAGCCCGGGAGCTCAGCGGCCTGTGGTCAGCTGTGCTCTCTACCCGGGTAACTGGTGGAAGATGTCACTCCCAGCACTGCTGCAGGTTCTGGAAAGGGCTGTGTTGTCACTGTTTTTAGTCATCACCTTTCCTCCATCCTCCTTCCTCCAGGCCAGGCTACCTTTAATGAGCTTGCATGTGTGTGTGTGTGTGTGTGTGTGTGTGTGTGTGTGTGTGTGTGTGTGTGTTGATGGTGGTGATAGTGGTAGCCAATCCCGAGTAGGGTGAGACTACAGATCAGAAAAGTCCGTAAGCTCCACTTTCGCCTTCCTGCTCAGATGATCTTGGTCCTGCCTCCCAGAAATCAGCTACAATGAGCCAAGTCCCAGATGTTGGGGTGCTGGGTAACATCAGGGGACACTCCGAGTCTTGCCTGGTCGAGGCCTGGATTAAGCTGGTGGTGCCTGGCCAGTTGCCTGGGGCTTCTAGTCCTTACCCTTTCTCTCTTAAAACTCACACTTGACAGATTACAATCGCTCAAGGAAAAGCGTCTTCTCCACTCCAGCTTTGTTCTAGCCGATATAAAAACGAAACTTTGACCAGAGAGGTCACCTGCTAGAGAGGCTGCAGAGGCAAGTGGCTCCCGTCTGTCACCAGGACACACGGACAAGCACCCGGGCTCTCGCTCTCACCCAGAGTGCTTATGACTTGTAGGGAACAAAAGGGCACAGGCCAGAACAGTGGCATATTTGGGGGGGACCAGGACTTCGAAACTCAGGCAACTGGGCCTAAGGAGACAAAGGAAGGAGCCGGGCAGTCGGCCGCGTCCCTGTGGCGCTATGAGAAGCTGCCTGCAGAACGGTCACGTGACGAGCGCAGGCAGAGGCGCCCGTGAGCCCTTGCGCTCACCAAGTGTGAACTTTCTCTCCCAGAGAAACAAGGCAGGGAGTCGCCGTGTGTTCACGCCACTCGGAGATGGGCTTCGCCTCTCGCAAATGCCAAGAATGAGGATCAGGCACCCTCTCTGATGGGCAGAGCAGTCGCTGGTTGGATTCAAGTATCGGTTGGATCCAGTATTCCTGTGGATCCAAAGCCTGGTGCAATCCCTCGGACAGTTCTAAAAAATATCTGTAAAGGAAACCTGGCATAGTTCCCATTCTGCCGTTCTTTATTTTGTTAAATTTCGGATCTAGATAGAATGTTAAATTCAGAGCCTAAACGTCTTACAGCTCATAAGTTTTCCAGTGTCTTAAACTTCCTTAGTGCTGTTGTCTCTAAGCCCCCGAGCAACATGGGAATAATAACGCCTGACCCCGAACATGCTCTGAGAAATAAGACATGCAGGTTACTTAGCCATGATTACTGGTATAATCTAACTATTGACAATTAGTATTTTTCCAGATTGTAGGTAGATTAACTTCCAGGAGAAGCCCCTATATGATGTGAATATGCTACTCGTGACGATCCCTTTAAGGAATTAAAAATTCTGAAAAAGCATTTCATTTAAGCACATATTTTCACATTAAAAAATATGAAAATTAAAATGTCTGAATCTCAAATCTACCAAAAAACTTAGCTTCTGTTTCCAAGATTCCTCCAAAGCAGAATTTCAAAACCCGAGTCACAAGGGTTTATCGCATGACCTTTAAACAAAATTCCATCACCGATGAAACTGGCCTGCTCCTCACCCAAGGTCACCGTCAGAACCGTCCCCCGGCACTCGGTCTGTCTGTGTGTTCTCCCAAGACAGGGAGAGCTAATTTGTGCCGCTGCGGTCCCGTGTGACACACGCTGAGAGCACACACCTTTCTGAGGTCACAGCTGGCTGCTGCTCCCTCCCACAGGGACGGAGCACCCGCGGCGCCGAGCCGGTGGGGTGGGCGGCCCCTGGCTGTCCCTCAGATCTTCTCTCTTCCAAGGAACAAAACTGTTGGAAGCCAGCAGCATAATTACACAGATCCAGGCTGCGGCAATCACAGAGGTTCGTTAGAATCTGCCAACTCCATTTTTATCTGGAATCTGGGCAGACACAGAGCGCCGGGTCTTGAAAAAGACTTCGTTCCCGCAGACTCCCACTCCTTGGCATTCGTGGGCTGCCCGTGTTTTAATAATGTAAGGCACATCCTAAGGAAGGGGCACAAAGTCACTTGTGACGGGTAACGGCGGCGCTTTCACGGATACTGTTTGTTCTTCAGTCATCACGCCGCTGGCGTGGTGCAGAGGGGAGGTAAGGCCTGCGAGGGAGCAGCTCACTCTCAGAAGCCTGCACAGCAAGGTGGAAGAGGAGCCAGGCACCCGAGCTGGCCCTGCAGCCACATCCAGCACCACGGTGCTGATGAACAGGAAATGACGGCACCTGTCGCTCCCTGTACTCCATCTACATCTTACCTCTTTTTTTAAAACCCTCATGTGAAACAAACATCACGTGCCTCATTTTACAGATGAAAAAGGGATGATGTGGGCATGGCGCATGGCTGTGATCCCAGCACTCGGGAGGCTGAGGCAGGAGGATCAATCTGAGTTTGAGGCCAACCTGGGCTACACAGTGAGTTCAAGACCAGTCTAAACTACATGGGGAGACCTAGTCTCAAAACAAACAAACAAACAAACAAACAAGAACACAGCTTAGTGGTTAAGTAACTTGTTCTCAGACAAATGCTAAAGGCTCCGAGCCTATGTTTAGCAGGAATATTGGGTAATAACATGGATGTCCAGGATTAATCACAGAATACTATTGCAGGGAATGGTTTCCCTGCTCTGGACCCTCTGACAGTCCGGTGCACCTGTGCAGCCCTTCTCAGGATGATGCTTTTAAATGTAAAAGCCAAAGAGCAGAGGATCACAAAGAACATACAACACACCAGTTCTCACAGAACTTACCAACGTCACTCCTGACACAGGCCCTGCTCCACATGTCACCAATGATAAATATAAAACTGCTTTCGACAAGAACAACAAAATGCTGAACCAGACTTCCCTCGACCCTGGCCGCTGGGCCCTCTGCACTGTGCTCCTCTGTGGCTTCTCATGATGGTGGTGTGTGAGCCACGTTGTGTTTTAATGCAGCCCCAAGTGACAGCAGCAAGTCTCTACAGCCCACAGCCCTGAATTCGCACCCCACGCCTCAGGGGGGTGTGCGCCATGTTCAGACACTGCCCGTGTGGGTGGGGTTACCTTGGCGTAGACGCAGCTGTCCGAGAGCCTCATGAAGGGACAGTACTTATCACACACAGGACACATGATGATACCTGTGGCTCGGCAGACTTCTTTACTGGAAAAGAGAACAGAAGAGGGCTGCTTTGATCACGACGAGTAATATTTTCCTTCCCTGCAACGGCACCTACAATGGTCGATGGATAAGTAAGATCCAATAGATGAAAGTTTTGCCCGTGGAGGCGTCTTAGCTTTTGTGGTTATGATTGTAAACAAGTTCCTGTACATTTAAATAAGTGGATAAGCCCACTTACTTACAAGGCTGTTTCTTGGCTTTACATATTCACAATTTAAACTCAGGAAAAGACATGAAGCAAAAAACATGGGCCGTTATACCTCAAATCATACAAAATCCTTCATGACATCTCACAGGTCTGAAAGAGTTTCTTAGTGAGTTATGGAAACAGGACACCTAAAAAATGTCTGCCTTAATCTCTCTGTGCCTCACAAATTAAAACTAAGAATGGAGGAATTAATAAAAATAACTGGAGATTTTAGTCCAGTGTGGAAACCACATCTTATTAACAATTTTACAAGAAAATAAATTATTTTGGTAGGCAGAAGCCCTGTCAATTTTATTTTTTGTAGCTACTTGTCAAGGGTACAGTCAGTATTTTAAAGTCTCTGTCCAGCTTTGCAAAAAGATCTCTCAGAACATCTTAAAATGCATTCTGGTGAGAGGATCGAAGAAAGGACTGTCCACGCTGAACTCTCCCTCGGCACTTGGTGAGACGTGTTTTTGGTCTGGGCTTAAGTGGGTGCTTTTAAAAATACAGAATTCACGAGAAAGGCTTGTTCGCCAGTGACTTTGCAGGATCAGGCACCAGTTTTAAGAAAGACGAGAAACCCAGAAAGAGCAACTTCTAGCCAGCGAGGGCAGGTGGTCTGTCCCACGGACACAGAGCAGGCTGCGTGCCCATCAGTGTGACTTCTGCCGCTGTGACAGCTGAAGACCACAGCTCGAAGGGCAGTGGACTGCGAGAGCCTACGAACTGGAACGTTAGACTTTCCTGAGATTGCCCAGGATGGTGGGGTGAAACATCTATGCATGTCCGCAGTCTGTCTGTACACACGCAGCAAAGGTAGGCTCCCTCGGGAGCTCCTGTACCTGACTTGGCAGTGGTCCAGGGTGGTGACGCCATACAGAAAGACGAACAGTCCAATGAAGGCGGCCGGGAAGAGCATGCCCGTGTACCATCCCAGCCAGGCGAAATACAGCCCGATCTTCTCTCCAAAGTAGCGCCTGTTGGAGACACGACAGCCTTGAACCTGACAGGGACCTGAGACGTAAGCACGGTCATTGCCCTCCTTCCTGGCCAAGCAAAACTCCAGCTGCTCCTCTGGGACTCAGCTCTTGCACCGGGATGCCTGTCTGCCTCCCATCGTTTCCATTTATCTGACTTGTTGTAAAACCCGCGGCCTCTCACGCAGTTTACCGAATCATGCGTGGACTGGTACTTTTTTCTGGTTGTCTCAAGTACGCAGGATGCGTTTTTCGGCAGGAAACTGACTTTCTTGACACCAGGGCCCATGGCTTCTGTTTGTCTTTGCCAACAGTACTTAGCACAGTACTAGAAATACAAGGGACAGGTAGTGAACGCTCACTGACTAACTCCAAAATCTTACTCAGCGCCCTGCCGTAGTGGAGATGGTTTGCCTGCAGCAATGATCTGAATTTCTAATCAGTGCAATCCTGTAATACGGGGCTCACGCAGAAAGAAATTTGCTTTTATTTTTCTCACTGTTTATCAATCATTATATGCGGTTAAAGGAAAATGATCTCCTCTCAGAAAATATTTTCTACTCACCCAGATCATCTGGGTCATTTATTACCAGCGCAAAGAGCAGAACATAATTTATCAGTGTCCTTGGAACATCTGGAGAAGACACTGGGTTACAAGGTACCGGGGCTCTGGCAGGAAGAAGGATCACCCCAGGGATGAAATAAAGAGTGAGTCGTCTTTTTCTTCGCCTCTCTGGCTCATTTCTTAGGGCCTGGGCATGAGTGAAACATACCCGGCTAGTCTAGGAAATCAGACACGACTTTCTCTTTAAAGAGAAGCCCACGGAGTATGGACTGATACTGCACAGCTGTAATATCCAGTCTCTAAATAAGTAATAAAATGTCAGTGTAACACCGCCAGGCCAAACGGTGGGGAGATACAGTTAAAAAAAAAAACAACAAAAACTACATACCCTCGCACTGCACAATTATCATAGGCTAAAAGCAGATGGACTCTTTGACTTGCAAATTAAAACAATCTTTAAAGGTTATTAGTTTTAAATTAAAATTAAAATAAGCCTGAAATGTATTGGAATAACAATACCTGGTGGGTATGCGCTACTTGCAGAAGATGAGAATCCAGAATGCTTGGGATGGGTGGTGCTTCAAATTTCAGAGTTAAGAAGAAGTATTTGCAATGTTTACATGCATATCATGAGATACCTTGGGTAGAGACCCATGTCTACACACAGAGTTCATCTGTGTTTCACGTACACCTGGCCCGCACAGCCCAGAGGTAACTTTATGCAGTAGTTTCCTGTGATCTCTCCATCAGGGTTAGGTACAGAATCTTTCACTTATGACATCAAATCAGCCCTGAAAAAGCTGAGGATTTGGGACATTTTGGAGTTGTGGATTAAGGGTTGTACACTGTAGTCTGTTACTAATATACGTAAGGTTCCACAGGTGACCAGCTCCTCGTGGAGTCCAGAGGGCTCCTCCCTGGGGCCACTGGAGGAAACGCCACCCCCATCAGAGAGGGTCCCCTGATGAGCCCTCTGGGGAGAAGCCAGGTGGGGCAGAGCTGGCAGGTCCGGCCCCCACCATGGATGGCTCTGTGCCTGATGCAGACTTCACACACGCAGCCAGGCGGACACTCACCTCACGAGATCCAGAGGCTGGTATTTGTACCACACACCCCACGACGCCCAGCACTCATAGAGAAGATGCCGGTGGTTTACTGCTCCGTGTGTTCGGATGGAATTTTTACTTCTGTAACTTCCCTGCAATCAAAACACCACTGCTGGTGAGGTGCCACCCACGAAGCCACAAGGAAATGCTGTCTCTTACGCTAGGGGTTGGGAGAAAGGAGAGAAACGCATCCTCTCTGTGAAAGGAGGCCGTGGGATTGGCTGCGTGGGACACGGTCTTACTGATGATGCCCTCTGCTAGGATCAGGTTTGAACTGAGTTAAAATTTAGTTCTGCTGTGGGGATTTTGGATGAGGCCCCTAAGTACTCTGAGCTTGGGTTTCCTAATCCATGGTGGATCTAATATTTGCCTCCTCAAGTTTGTTCCGTGGTTGGCGTGGGCGCAGGCCGTGCCGGGCACTGATCAGCTCTCCTCATACATCTCTCAGGGGAGGGCACTGGTACCAATGGCCACAGCCACAGCCTTGTCGCGTGGTCTTTTTTGTCAAGGAGTCCTAGAATGTAAAAGCTGGGAGCCACCTTGAGATCCTAATAATTCATCCTGATTCATCCTCCTCGTTAAACAAGTGAGGAGGCAGTAGAGAGGGGCACGCACTGTCCTGAAGTCAGTTCCTGGCATTCGTTGCTGGTTTATTTCCCTCTGCAGGCACGCTGAGTATTCACATTAGCTGGTAAGGAAGCAGCTCCGGGGGTCTCAGCGAGGCTAACCCCTCTCTGATCGCTACTGAAAACTTCAGCGTGAAACAAGGCAACACAGATGCCCTTCCTGCCTCTGCAGGTTGTTTTGAGGCCAAATAATATAATCAAGTTAAACTGAAAGTAAAAAATGGAGAGAGTAGAGAGTATCACTGCCGCTGCCACTAACGTGGATGTTCTCTTCCCACAGATTGTGGCCTTTGGAGAGACAAAACCCCCAGAGAAACCACGGGCTGCTCTGGGGGGTTTGTGTTCTGCTCACTGACCACTGCTTGGTGCTGCCCTTCCTTGGGTCATGATTGAGAAGGAGGACACAGGGCTCCCTAAGTCCCTTTTCTGGGCAGTGACAATGAATAACTTCCAGAAGCTACACAAGGTTCTTGGGAGAAATCTATCGTGACAGAGTTGAGAAATCTGTGCGTGGCTGCAGAAAACCTTTGTGTCAAAATGTTTACCTCTGTCACACCAAAAGGAACATTCCAGAAACATCTCCCGGCAGCCTGTAAATTGTACGTCAGACCACAGCTTCTAGTATTCTTGATAAACCAGCTTTGAAAAGTTCTGCAGCACCATGGCCATTTGCTTGGTGTTTAAAAATCAAGATAAGAAACGTTGTAAGCCAAACAAAAATTATGCTTTGGGAAATTGTGCCGTGTATGAAAGACGGGAACGGTCCTCCAAAGTTTCCTGACAAACAGTTTCACCCTGGCTGGTCTGTGAGGTCTCAGAGAGTAGGAGCTGTATGGAGACACATTTATCTTTGTGTTCTTTGTGTCACAGAGTGACCGGTATAGAGTCGGGACCGAGTACCACAAAAATGACAATAATTATGAGGATTATGCTCCTGAAAACCTACGTGCATGATTCTGGGTTCAATAATTGAAGCTCTATCGAGGAAATCTAGTAATACACAGGGTAATTGCAATTCCACTTATGAAAGTCATAACATATCATAAAGACCATGAAGTAAATATCAACCTTTACACATCTTACCATGATGAATATAATACCGTGAATTTCCATTTATCATCCTTTGGTTATCAGAAAATTTGCAAAATAGCTTTCTCCCACTCCTTCAAGAATAGCAATAAATTTATTTGTTGCACAGAGTATATATCTCAAGAACAATTCCCCCTCAGTGTGGTGTTTCATGCCAATTGTCAATGCCTTTTTAATTGCAAGACTTAGAGCCCCCCGTGCATTTTTCTGAATTCATGCTGAATGGCCTTAAAAGTATTCCTTGAAGTATTTGAAAAGTTACATAGAAATACATTTGTGCAGAGGGAGAGATGGAGGAATGTAAGCAGATTTTCCCTAAACACCCACCGAACAAATTAAATTCATTCTGAACAAATGCCAAATCAACAAACTCAACAGATGACTCTCTGTGCCAGCCAACTTTAGTAACAAGTTGCAGAAGAAAGGTAATAAGAAAGTACAGTACCTCGTGCAGGGGAAAAGCAGCTTCATAGGAGCCATTGGTAAGCAAGCGATTCAGACCTGCAGCGACAAACAGACCCATCGGAATTAAGGCTTAGTGTGAATCTTCCCAGGACTCGGGAGGAAGGTAAGGGCTGGACTTTCAAAAGTGATTCAACTCACATAGGGAGGGTAAGAGTTTAGAAATGCAGTTTTCCTATCTGCCGGGACGTTGGAATCCAGGGCTGGGATATCAGGGTTTCTTTCTCTTTTTTTTTTTAATTGTAAAACATGTAATTGTCAGAATGAGTCTATTCAAGCCACACTGTACAATTTGACATACATGTGATTATATCATGATTGCCATAATCAAGTTAATGAATATGTCTATCATGGGTTAGGTCTAGAATGTGCTCCATGGACCTCCAGTGTTCAGAGGGGGCCTTCTGGAAGGGGACGGGATGGCAGGGGTGCTGTGCTCATCAGTGGATTAAAGTGCTGAGGTGGGGTGGGGTCTGCTTGGAAGAGGTGGGGCTGCCTAGCAGGGTTTCTTTTCATGGCCAAATGACATTCCACTGCCTATACGTATTTTAATTTCTTTATTCTTTTATTTGTTGACGGACACTTAGCTGTTATACATAATGCATTTCACAGATGCACTTGAGGAGGCCGAGGTGGGTAATTTCTATTTTAGTCTGTTGACTTTTTAATCAGGAATGGATCCTGGCTTTACATCCATTTTCCATGTCTATAGAGATGTTCATAATGTTTTCCTTTTGCTGTGTGCTATTGATTGTGTTCTGAGAGGATGCTGACCCTCTTTTGAAGGACTTGACTGATTAGGCAAAGCCATCCTGCAATGATCTTTCTTTCGATGAAGTCAAAAAGTCTGACTGATTAAGGATCTTAGTTGCATCTGCAAAATCCCTTCAACTCTGTGTCTCAGGGCTTCAGGAGTGGATAATTAGCACTGCGGCGTTCTTTTGGGTAGGAGTAAGCCACAGGCCCAACCACAGTCAAAGGGAAAAGATGGCGAAGGGCATGACTTGTTAGAGAGCCACGCTATGGAGTGTGCACTATTAGCACTCATGAGTTTTATGATCCCCCCAAAGAACCAGCTATTGATTTCAAAGATTTTTTTCTATTATTTTTGCATTTTATATATATATATATATATATATATATACATATATTTTTTTTTTGAGTTTATTGGTACATTTTAGGGATACAGTACAGTTACATTCATATCACATGATATATTTCCACTTCTTTAGTGGTAATCCCACACTTTCCTATATGTTGTGTTTCTATTTTCATTCAGTCCAACATACTTCCTAGTTTCCCCTTTGGTTTATTTCCTCAGTTATTGAGTAGGATATTGCTTACTCTGAAATATTTGTGAGTCTTGCCAGAATTTTCAGAGTTTAATACCTGTGTGGTCAAATAATATATTCTCTATGACCTGAAACCTTGCAGATTTATTGTCACGTTTTTTATCCTGGATGTGGTCTGTCTTGGTAATGTTCCGTGTGCATTTGAAGAAGGAATTTAGAGTGGCCTAGAGGCCAGTGAGGTCAAATTCATTGACAACACTCTTCATACCTTCTAAACTCTATTGAGATTTTACCTACTTGTTCTATCAATTATTGAGAAAGTGGTTGAAATTTATGACTATAATTCTGGATTTGTGTATTTCTCTTTACATCTTTGTCAGTTTGGCTTCAAGTAGTTTGAAGTTCTACTATTAAGTGCATAAAATTTAAGATTTTATGTCCTCCCGGTGGATTAAGCTCTCTGTAAGAGGGCTTTTCTTTATCACTGGTGACATTGTCTGTGCTGAAGTCTACTTTGTGTGATATCAATACATTTATTCAAGCTTCCTTTTGATTACTGTTGCTAGGGTATGTTTTTTCCATCCTTTCATTTTTACCCTATCTGTCTCCTTATATATAAAGTGCATTTCTCAGAAGGCAGTAAAAAGTTGGGTTTTGCTTTTTATTGGATGTATCAACCTCTGACCCTTGAACTGAGAACTATATGCCATTCATAGTCAATGCAATTATGAATAGATTTACATTAAGTCCAGGATGTCACCCTTTTCCATTTATCCCACCTGCTTTTGGGTTTTCTGCTTTTTTTCCGGCAAATTATTTTGTATGGTTCCATTTTATCTGTTGTCTTAGTATTTGTAACTCTTCATTTTTGTTACTTCAGTGGTTGTCTTCAGAGTTTACAGCGTCTCTCTGCCACTCATCACAATCTGTCTTCAGGTGGTAAAAGTGAGTCACACAGATAGTCTTAGAGTACAAGGCCCTTTCTCGCCCCTCCTACCTTTTCTGCTATTGCCAGCGTATATTTTATCCTCACATATTCAAACCTCACCCTACACATTGTTATTATTTTAAGTGATCATTATCTACTACAGATATTTAAATAACAAGAATATTTACGTTTTCCAAGGAGGGCTGCCTTTAATACATCTTGTAGTACAAGTCTTACAGTGGTGAATTCTTTCAGTTTTAATATATCTAAACAGCTTTTTCTTTCACCTCCATTTTTTAGGAGATCCGTTCCCTGAGTGTAGAATTCTAGGTCGACATTTTTCTTTGCTGTTAAAGACATTGCTCCATTGTCATCCAACTTGATTCTTCCCAGTGAGAAATCTCTATAGTTATTTTTGCATGTTTTCTCCATTTGCTGCTTTGAAGATTGTTCTCTCTAATGCAGATTTGGAAAAAGCTGACTATGTGTGCCTTGGTATCGCTTTCTTCAGATTTCTTACACTTAGTGTTTATTGGGTTCATCAGGTCTATAGGTTCGTGGTTCTCATCCAATTTGGAAGATTTTTAATCATTACTTTTTCAAATATTAACTGCTTCTGTGGGTTTTTTTTTTTTTTTTCTGATAATAACACCCGTTCTGGGTAGGTTCTGATGGGTTGGTTTTTCTCATCCTTAGGGATATTCTTCTTTGTATGCCTGATAATCTTAGTTACTGTCACACTGATTTTTTCTTTTGTTGGTAGGTACATATTTTGTCCCTGTAATTATTCTCGAGCTCGGTACTGTGACACAGATGTTGGAAAGAGCGTGATGCTTTTGGGTGTTACTTTTTACATGTGTCAGGTGAGACTTGTTTGGTTTAATAGGAAGTGGTTTTACTGCTGATTACAGGAAATCAAACATTAAGAAAACAAAAATGGGCACGCAGGCTCCTCACTGCTCTGTGACTTCTGTGTGTTCCCGTCTGGAGAGACCCTTCTGGATGGCTCCTTCTCTGGCCTTGGGTTACTGTGTCCCATGTATGCACTGATCAGCACTCCCAGAATACCTGGGTGTGGGGCTCTGCAGATCTTTAAAGTTCAAGCTCTGTGCTGCTCTCCGCTCTCTGGAACTCTGCTCTGTGAGCTGCCTGGGTGTCTCTGCACGCTCCTCTCTCTCCAATCCCTCTCTTATCTTCTCAACTTGGGGAATCTTCTGGGTTCTCCCTCCTGTGCTATGGCCAAGAAACTAACTCAAGGCAATAACTGGGGCAACTGTAGGTTCGTCTCATTGTTTTCACCTCTCAAGGATCTATTTTTTGGTTTCCTAATGTTCAGTGGCTTAAAAATAATCGCTTCGTACATTTTATCTGTTCTCTCTCGAGATTTATGTTACTTCCTACGATAACCCTGGAAGGGGTTGATTCACTTGGTATCGTATATGTGGAATGTTCTCCATATTTTAGACCCTGGTCAGAATCCAGGGATTTAGCCTAACTGGAAAATGGCAAATACACTGAGCTATTTTTTTTTTTTTTTAAACTGATGAGGGCAATCAGTGCTGAGATAATTTAAATCACAATGACACCAATGTGCTTAAGCTGATCGACACTGACAGTGAATGTATAAAAAAGGCACCTGAAATACAAATATCAGTAGGGCTTTGTATTTTGTCTAGTACACAGGATAGCCTCAATAAATACCTGTAGGGTGACTGGATAAATTACTGATTATGCAGAAATCTTTGATTTCTTGGCTTTTCTATGGATTATTGCACATATCTCATCAATAACTTTCAAACATCCTGGACATAAGAAAAAATAGGATTGACAGGGATGTAAAAAGAGATTTTGACGATGGCCTTTGTAAGTTTATCATAATTTATCAAAGTCCTGAAAAGTGAGAAAGTAGCTAATACTTAAAATCTATCACTTCACTAACTTCACCTCTGAATACAAGCTTGAAAATACAGATCAGACGGCCGGGCATGGTCGTGCACGCCTGTAGTCCCAGCACTCGGGAGGCTGAGGCAGGAGGATCACTGTGAGTTCGAGACCAGCCTGGGCTACATAGTGAGTTCCAGGTCAGTCTCAACAACATAGTGAGACCCTGTCTTCAAAAAAAAAAAAAAAGAAAATACAGATCAAAGTCAAGATTTATTATATATACACATAGTGTTATGCAAATCTTTGTTAAGCTATTCATTGCTCTGTTTTGAAAGTGAGTTTTACCAAGTTTGAGTTTCAGAGTTGAATTAAATGCAGAGTGAAGTTGAAAAACATACATCAGCAGTTTACAATCCACTAAAATGCTCTTAGGAATCATGTCTAAAAATCAATATTTTGTGTTCTTTCCTATCAATGTTGGCTCATTCAAGATGACACTTTCAGAACATTTCAGGCATAAAACATTCTATCAAAAATGTTCATTCTATCAAGTAACTTTTTCTAATATATTTCTTTCTGAGACTAAAGATGACAATGAAATATTGGTCAGTAGACTACTTGTAGTTTTAGTCCATATTTTTCAGCAAAATATGTAATTGTGGGTTGACAATTTACTCTGTGATTTTTTCTAATTAGACAAGTTCTTATTTCATCCTTACCAATTTTGAAAGCACTGAAGACCTTGAATAGAATCTCCTTTCTCTTTCACCAACTGAGAGAACCGTTTACCGAGGACTAGCAACACTATCGTCATCCCTCAATATTCTTTCAAAGCACTGCCCCTCTTCTATCTCCTCTTCCATAGTTGTGAAAAAACAACATTCCCCACTTGAGATGCAAAACTTTGGTCTGATCATTGGGTCTATGGTCTTACCGTGCACAGTTGTTGATGGTGTCAGGAGAATGACAGCGAGAGACACCCTTCTTAAGAGATTTTCAGCTCAGCTCAGTGCATGTTTATTGGACTCCTACACAGACACTGGCCTGGGAAAGGGTGTTACGAAGGGGAAGAAGGCAGTTTACTTAACAGTTATGCCGCTTATCTGGACTGGTCACTTCAGCAGCAGATTGTACACACAAGTGTGTTATAATGGATTGTGAGACAGACTGTAAATGACACTACCGTGATGCATTAAGGCATGCTTTTTACGTTATTTGCATTTTGTGAAATACAGAATAGATCATTTTGATTCACTCACTTGCTAATATATTCATAACTGAAAGGGTATGATAGAAAAGTATGCCTAGCACAATACAAGTTTGTTTAAAAATCATAGGAACGAATACAAATTGGAGAAAGTAATCAATGCAGCATCTGAATTATTTAGGACACACTTTTTTTATATGCTGCTGGGATCAAACCCAGGGCCTCACACATGCCAGGCAAGTGCTCTCTCTCTCCCTGAGTCAGGTCCTGACCCTATGAAATGTTACAGTGGTTCTCTGCAGGTGTAGATTTTCATGATGTCACTGAAGAGTTGTATGTGACTAGTTAACACTTAAAACATTGCAAAAGCTGTCACAGGAATTTAGAAGAAGCACCTGGAAGAGGACTTCACTGTGAGAAGGTGTCCCCAGGACCGAGGTCTGCTGCAGGCAATGTGAGATGTGTTCAGCCCTGATCCTGCAGAATCCAGAAGGACCTACGTTAGGGTTGGTCTCACTGTGCCCACCTGCACTGACTTTCCCTGACTGTATTATTCCACTATTCCAAAGTGGACTAGGTAGCTGTTTCTAGGTAGCAACTATATTTTTTTTTTTTAATTTTTTTGGCAGCTTCATTATGTTAGTGACTCATGCTGAGCTTGCCTTCAAATCTGCTTCTCTCGATGTTGCTGAGCAACATTTCTCCCACACTGGACTCAGGGAGCTGCTTTGCTGAATCTCAGTAGGACTTTGCATCTACAAACCGGAAATGTCACCCTGCTGCATCTGCTGAGGATTCTTGCTTGCTGAGATCTTTGAGGCTCTTAAGGCCAACACATTTACGCATCCTTCAGCCCAGCCCAGCCCACCTGGAGGCTCGAGGAGGCCATTTAGGCTACGTGTCAGTCACCAACTGATTGCCCTTCCGCTCCAAATGCACCTTCATCGTCTACTTTCAATAACAGAGCTGGGCTTTACAGCGATTTCCCCTTCTCCTTTGTCCGTGAAGGCCCTGGAGAGCACCGACGGAGGAAGGGGCTTCCCTTCTTGACGCCATTCTGCTTCTCCCAGCAGGTGTCTGCACGTCCACTGCTGCAGCATCCAGCTCCTGCTCTGTTTGGTGGCCAGCGGCACTGGCGACTGCCTTCGACTGGATTTCCTGGTGTCCCTCGTGGGAGGTTTCACAGACCAGGGCTGCTTGGCCACATCTGCCAGTGAACTTCCTAGAATACATCAGGCAGCTTCCCCCTCACTCCAGCAGTCGCATCCCCAGCAGGTCTCTAAGCCGTGTCCAGCACAGCTGCACCCTTCCACGATGGTCTGGCTTTTGGCCTTGTCAAGGGGAGACCCTTAATATCTGTGATTTCTTCTTCTTTTTTTTTCTTTTGTACTGGGGATCAAACTTAGGTCCTTGAGCTTGGGAGGCAGGTGACAGCACCACTGAACTAAATCCTCAGCCTGTGATTTATTCTTTAGCGTCTTCTAACCCTTGGCTAGCCCATCCTCCATGACTCCAGTGCCCGGTCATGGTTTACCACTGAAGTTCAATTTTCTCTGTTCAGATTGTATATTTCTGTTTCCTCACTGGACCCTAGCTGATAGAGGCCATTATTAAAACTATCAATAAAATTTTTACCGGGACAGAGATAAGGATAAAGCCACCCAGAGCTTCCTGATATATAATAATAAGTTTAATAAGGCAGGAAATTTGGTAATATAATATGGAGAGATTCTCATAAAATGCCTACAATATGAATTGTGGAGGCTGCTTAGTGGGGAGAATCAGGCTATGGATATAACTCCCTTCCGTACTTGCGGCTCCCTTGGCCTAGAATACCTGTCCCCTCTCTTCCCAGGCTAGCTCCTGAGGGCTCAGGTCTCCTGATTATTCCCCCAAGCTTCACCACTCTGGCTCAGTAACACCGCCTATTGTACTTTCTTCATGCTATTTATCCCACTTGTTTCTTCATTTTTTAAAACTTCTTGAGCAGAACCTCTGGGAGGGATTTGTACTTCTCTCCCCAGTGCCTGGTTCAGTGCCTGGCACACAGTATACCCCCGTAAATACTTGCTGAATTCAGAGAACCCCCGTGATCCTACACAAATGAGATGACTCTTGGTTTAAAGAGGAGGTTTACGGATGCTAGAAGGCTTTGCACTTGTTAATTAACAATCAAGGGACTCGGTGGAGGTTTGCCACACAATAAACATGATGAAACCAAGAGAAGAAATTTAATCCCCCAATAGCAGAGGCAGTAAGAGGCTACTTACCGATTTTGTTTTTTCCTTCTTCATACTTTATTCTTTGTAAAATGTGATGCACGATTCTACTTCTCGTGGCGTTGTTGAAGAAAGTGTCTTTGTTGTGTATGATGAAGCTGCACACACACATTGAAAACACAAGTAGGGGGTTAATTGCAGGAGAGTGCCGTAAAGTCTGTTATAACTCGGTGCTGCTCAGGAGGAATTGTCTGCAGTCGGTCCCAGCGGGCGGGTCTGGGATGGCACGAGAGCGCCCAGTGGTCACCCCAGAGCACCATGCTCATAAGTCTAAGTAGTTTTAGTTCTCAGAATCCTGAGCCTTAACATCATTCTGCCAGGAAGGAGCTAGAGCTAAGTGAAATGAAGAGTCATAAAAAAAAGAAAAAGAAAATCTAGGTCTTGTGTCTTGTTTTCTCTTAGGTCATTAAATAAATCCAACTACAAGTTCAGTTTATCTTCATCTCCCCTCTTCTTTTACCCACCCCTCCCGTGCCATCATCAAGTGGTACTCTGAGAATTTTAAGGTCTGAAACAGGCTTGGGTGGTGGGTATGGAAATTCGGTATTTGGGGCTGGTCTGGCTGAGGAGAGAGGTGAGATGTCAGGTCCTAGAAATCACGTCTGTCCTTTGTTTTCCTGTTTGTTTTTTTCCCTGGATAGGACTCTACTTCTAAAGCTTGCACTTAAGATTGCTTTCTTTCTCGTCTCCAAAGTTCACCAAGGGTGTGTGAGCCTGGGTGTGCACCCCCCCACACACACACGTAAACACGCACTACATTATGCTTTCCAGTAGGTGCTCCAGGCCTGCCGCTGGCTCTTTCAGGTAACAGCTTCCAAGGGGCGCCGGAAGCATGAAGGGGCCACATCTCCTCTTCCCAGAAATGTGATTTATTGATGATAGTGAATATAAATGTAGTTGCTTTAGAAAACGTACAACTTATCAACTGGGCAGACTTTCCATCCCTCCTGTAAGCTGGATCCCACGCGAGGCATCCGAATCTAGCTCTGACATCACCTCCCGCTCCAGCGTGCTCCCCGCCCCTCTGAACACACGCCTGTCCCCAGAATTCAGCACTGCCCTCTCTGTACTGTGCTTCATCTTGCAAGCACCTCAATGTCCTGATCATTCTGTACTGTCATTTGCTTACTTTCATTTCGTCATCAGCTGTTTACTACCCAATGCTAAGCGAAACAGGTAAAATCCTTGCCCATGGTGGGGCGTGGCGCTGCACACTTATAATCCCGGTACTTGGGACAGTGAGGCAGGGAGGTCACAGCAAGGCCTGGGCAACTCTGCCAGAGCCTGACTCAAAATAAAAAACAAGGGCTGAGTATTCTCTGTAGCTCAGGGCAGAGGCCCTGGGTTCGCTCCCCAGTGCACAAACCAGATCAAAACCTAAACCCAAACCAACAAAAAGTCCTCGTCCTCGAGATGGGGAAGACGCAAAGGAAATTCCGGATGGAGGCCGGGTCCTGCTTTGCGACCCAGGCAGCTCCTGTGTAGCTCGTACACAAGCGTCTGAGGTCGCAGGGGTGTGCACCGGAAACTGCTGTCACACGCGACTCTTCCTGGTGTTCCAGTGATGTGCGGAAAACCGCAGCGGCCTGGGCCAGGAGTGGGGTTCAGCTTGGGATCAGGGCTGGGAGGGGAGTTGGGACACCAGCAAAGAAGGGCACAGAATATGGAGAATCCCTGGAGCCGAGTCCCCAGGAAGTGCTTTCCTCCCACGTTCCCTTCTCTCGGAGTTTCTTACAGAAAGAATATGGCTTTGAGAGAAAAGCAATTTCACTTGATGGATGGGGATAAATGCTACAAGAGCAAACGAGGGCGTTTGGTATTTGTCCTATTTCCTCTCGGGTTTTCTGAAGACATTTTATGGCATCGAAGAAGTAGAGGAGAAAACCAAGAGTCACATCAGGGCAGTCCTTTGTGTTTCAGACCTCTCTGCTTTTTCACCTTGTTTGAGACAGGCTGTTATATTTTAATACCGAATAAAGATGTCATAAAGACACAGACAAGACGTAAAAAGCCCATTTGGACTCACAATTTCAGATGATCGGTGAAACCAGGTAAGACAATTTGGGGCTAAAAGCCCGTGGTACAGTTTTCTGCTTCCTCTCTCCTTACTGCACCTCTTCCCGTCTCCTGGGCACAGAAGGGTGCTCAATAACCAGCAGCACACAGGCCCCACAATTGTGTTGCCCTCTTCCTACATCTAGGTCAGCGATGGCGAACCTTGTAGAGCGTTCAGTGGTACAAACAGCCCGCTGCGTGCCATAGGTCTGCCACCACTGATCCAGGTAGTACCTTGAGCCTGAAGAGTCCATCGTGGGAGCAAGCAAACAGGGTAGCTGCCAGCCTCGATTCTAAGCCCTACCTGCACTGGCCCACTCGGTCTTTACAACACCCGAGGGGTGAGTGCTTGTGAACCCCCCTGAGCATGTGGAGAAGCAGAGTTGAGCAATGAGCCCAAAGGCACTCAGGGAATAGGAGGCAGAGGCAGGATTTGAACTCAGGCACCTACAGAGGCTGCCTGTGGCATCCTCACTGGCCTGCCTCCCTGAAAATACCGGGGACTTCCCGTCTCCTGAAGCCTGGTGCTCCTAAAGGTCAGCCCGAGAGGAACTTGGCCTGGGACGCGCTTTTCCTTTTATTCTTCACGTGTTGCTGGGTCACCCTCCACCATTCTAGGTCTCGGTTTCTTCCTGTGTGGAATGGGAATGGCACTGTGACTACTCTTACAGGGCGCAGAGATGACAAGCAGTACCGAGACATTTAAAACGTGCCCAGAGTCCACCGTCTGTGTCTGTTCTTCTGTTAGGTCACATCCAGTGTCTGCCCGTCCCTGACCTCACTGGCCAGCTTCCTGAAGGAGGAGACCTGCTGTGCTCCACTCTGTACCCCAGCACGGGCACGGAGCAAAGCACACGGCGATCCTGAAGCTGCGGCCAGGGAGCCGGGCTCTGGGGAACACGAGACCCCTGGGGGCTAGGAGGCCGGATCTGTCTCCTTGAGCTTGGCCCTCCACCTGCGTCCTGGAGCTCTTCCTGCCCACTGCATTTCGTCTGCCCGGGCTGTGCCTTCCCTCAGCACTGCGTGTTTAGGGACCTCCTCAAGGAGTCTGTCTGCCACTCTTTCCAACCAGGGGACCAGGACAATTCCTTATAGTGTGGTTTTCATGCTTTCCTTAGTCATAAACAGTTTTCTCCAAATGGAATCACCACACACACACACTCACTCACAAACACTCAGACCCAGGATGAGACTTGGAGCCCCCAGCTCTCTGAGCAGAGCTCCACAGCAGGATTAGAAGGTCAGCTCTACTGGGGATGAAGACCAGAGCCCATCAAAGCTATGTTTTCATGACTTATCCTCAGACCTGGCACTTCCCTTTTTAGACATTTCTTCTACAGATCCACTTACCCATGTGCAAAGTGACAAATGTACAAGAATGCCCCTGTGGCATATGTTGTAACAGGAACATGATTTAATTAATCCATTAGCGGGGATAAGATAAGCAAATTGTGCGGCAACTCTGTGGCAGAATATCGTGCAGGTGTAAGAGGCTGTGTTCCTTGTAAATAGTAAAAGTCTCCAAGACATTCAGGGAGAAAAGAGGTCTGAAACAGTCACGTGGCATTTGTGTCGGAGGAGAATCTATCCATAAAGAGGCACCCGGCAGTAAATACACCGACAGACACATCTGTTGCTGTGTGCACACAATTTCTATGGAAAGATGCACATCACCTTACTGTGCCCCCTCGGAGGGCTCAGGCAGATTTCCAGCAAGCGGGAAGAAGGGATTCAAACATCGTGGAATTTGTCCCGGATCTCCCGCTCCTCAGTGAGGGGCTGCCAGGGGCACAGGGCTGCCTGCCTGCCTGAGGGTGTAGGGAGCTTCCTGGGTGGCTCTGGGGTGCCTGTTGCACTCTGATGGATGGGCGGGCTGGAGCCGAAAGCGCCCCTGACTGCGCTCCCAGGTCCCAGACTTCTGCTTCCTGTGGTGCTGAGCAGCGGAGGCTTTCACTTGGGGAGGGCTGGGGAGGCTGAGCTAGGAGGGGAGCAGTGGGAAAGGATCCTGACGTGCAGCTGAGATTTAGCTTCAGGCCACCTGGAGTTGTATTTCCTTCACTGATAGGTTATACCTACGGGCAGCTGTTCAAGGTAGTGCTGTGAAATATGATAATCTCAGCACTCGGGAGGCTGAGGCAGGAGGATCACTGCGAGTTCGAGACCAGCCTGGGCTACATAGTGAGTTCCAGGTCAGTCTCAACTACATGGAGAGACCCTGTCTCAACGCCCCCCCGCAAAGAAAACAACAACAAAAAAACTGACGAGCTGCGTTTAACAAGCAAATATGCTTGTTCTGTGCAAAAGACTGGGCTTTGAGGGTAGATTTGAATTGTTCACATATGAAATATGATCTAAAATATGATGAACATTTAAATATAAAAATTGTATTAAAGGACACATTGTCATTAACCCACCTTAAAATTTTCCCTTGCTTTGAACACTTAGCCCATAGCTCTTGCCACTTTCTGAAGCAGTTCTGGAGTCCTCTTTCCTGAGTGTCTTTACTTGTGCAGCTGTGGCCACTTCGAAGAGTCCATTCAAAATGTTTACTTTATTGGTCTTTTTTTACTTTGGGGAAGAGCCAGAAGATACACAGGGCCAGATCCAGCGAATAAGGTAGATGAGAGCACACTGCAATGTTTTTTGTTTTTTTCCCCCAGTACCAGGGATCAAACTCAGGACCTTGTACTTGCCAGGCAGGCTCAATCCCGGCCCAACACTGCAGTGTTTCGAGAAGCCCGCCTTTTCACTGGATGTATGCACCGCCAGCGTTCACCGTATTTTTGATCATGCCTCATCGGTCACTGACGAAGGAGGACTCCAGAACTGCTCCAGAAAATGGCAAGAATGATCGGATATGTGTGTTTGAAGCAAGGGGCAGTATTTTGAGGAGGATTCGTGGCAATATGTCTTTTTCTATAGTACATTTAAAAAATTTAAACATTCACATGTATGAGCCGGATCGAGGGAAATACAAAGGTGTCATGAACTCAGCTCCCCTCCTCAGAGGATCCTCTTTTAATAGGTAAAATGGGAAACGCAA